TAGGCACATCTGCTGAACAAAATCTCTTTAAAGTGTTAAAGAGCAAAGCTGTCAGTTTGAGGAGTAAGGTGTGCCTGACCTACGCCATAGGCACTATTATTTTTGTTAGGTGCCTATGACCTAAGTGCCTATGACAATAGCCTCAGGTGCTTGTGAAAACTGGACAATGAATAAGGAAGATCATAGAAGAATTGATGTATTTGAGTAACAGTGTTGCAAAAGAATATTGAAGGTACCATAAACTGACAGAACAACAAACAAATCTGTGTTTGAAAAAGTACAATCAGGGTGCTCCTTGGAAGCCAGGATGGCAAGACTTGGTCTCTCATACTTTAGACATGTTATCAGGAGGGACCAGTCCCTAGAGAAAGACATCATGCTAGGTGAACTGGAGGCTCAGCAAAAAAGAGGAAGATCCCCCAATGAGATGAATTGGCCCAGTGGCAGCAGTAATGGGTTCAAGTTTAACAACAATTATGAGGATGACGCAGGATGGTGCACTTTTTCATTTTGTCAGCATAATAAGGTCACTAAATGAATCAGAACTGACTTGAAGGTACCTAACAAAAGCTACAACACCAGTACCTATACCTACTGACTCTATTATGATTGTTCTGCAATAGAAAACAGCTCTTTATTTTGTGGACAGTTTCATCTGCTATTTTCATTTCCTACTCTATGTTGCTGATCTCTGGGGGTTTAAGGGAAAATGAAATAGTATAATCTTGGCCTGCCCTTCAACTGTGTTCTACATCTAGCCTTTTTTAGGTACCTCTATCAATAGAAGTCCTGATGTGGTGCTGTGGGCTAATGAGCCAGACTGCAAAGCCATTTGAATTGCCAAGGTCGGTGGTTCAAGCTCACCAGCTGCTTCTCGGAAACCCTATACAGGATCGCTATGGGTCGGAACCACTCGACGGCACTTAAAAACAACAACAATCAATAGTGCTGTAGGATAATGCACTGGATTACAAGGTCAGTAGTTCAAATTCACCAGAAGCTCCTCTGAAACCCTATACAGGGTTGCTATAAGTCAGAACCAACACGACAGCTCTTAACAACAACATTACACCGGAGAGAGTCCTGGTGTAGCACTGTAAAATAATCCACTGGACCACAAGGTCAATATGAACTGCAAGGCTGGCAGTTCAAATTCAGCAGCTCCTCCTTACAGGGTCGCTAAGAGTGAGTCCTGGTATGACGTTACAGGTTAATGTGCTGGATTGCAAAGTCAGTTTGAATCACAAAGTTGGAGATTCAAGCTCTTCCAGCCACTCCTCAGAATACCTATATGGGGTTGTTATGGGTTGGAACCAACTCAACAGCACTCTACAACATGAGTTGTAACGGACTCGATGGCACTTAACAACAAGAATATTATACCACAAAGTTAGCAGTTTGAGCCCTCAAGTTGCTCCTCAAGAGAAAAGTGTGATTTTCTGTTCCTAAAGTATTTAGGAGAAAAGTGCACAGAACCTGCATTTGCTGATGGGCAACAACTTAAAATGAAGAGAAACAGCTGTAAACATCCATTGAAAATTGGAACATGGAATGCACGAAGTATGAATTTGCGAAAATTGGAAGT